ACTCGCCGACTCCTTGTCCACCCTCTCGACGACCCTGTTCCCATCGGACTGAACTGCCCCGGTCTGGGCTGGTCCGTTGCAAAGGTCACCTAACTTTTGCCCTTGGGGAAAAGAAGTCATAAATTTGCCATCTTGGGGTATATCAATGGCGTCTTTCTGTGTCTGCCTGTCAGGGTGCTTATCTCCCTTCAGTATGACTTAAGTCTAGATGACTCTGGCATTCAATAAACATTTCAAGAGAGAGACCTTGGAGTTCTGTAAAAATGATCACCTATTCAGAAGATAAAGAACATGAATTGACAATTGGTTGCATTTTGTCAGATAACATAACATGGTTATTGCTAGATGACAGGAATTTAAAAGTTAACAAATTAAAGATTTCAATGAAGCTCCTCTGGAGAGTTTCTATAAGCACACAGTCTACAGAAGACAGGAGATATCTAAATGTTCTTGAAATAAATGTGCATTCATGAAGAAGACAGTTCATCCAATAATTTTTTTTGGTCTTTTTGAGACAAGGTCTCCCTGTCGCCCCAGCTGTCCTGGAACTCACTATGTAGACCAGGCTGGCCTTGAACTCACAGAGATCCACCTGCCTCTGCCTCCCAAGTGCTGGGATTAAAGGTGTGTGCCACCACGCCCGGCTCATCCAATAATCTTAACACAGAATTCTTTCTGTAATAGAAATCAAATTTGCAGTCTGTTCTATTACTTTTCTTGGGGCTGTGAACAAGCATATATATAGGACACTGATAACAGAATAAAGAAACAACTCAAGCCTAACTCGGTAAGCCATTGATCTAATTTGGTTTCCTTACAGGGGCATGGATGAGTAGTGAGTTACAAGACTGTGGGTGACTTAGAAACAGATGCATCACAAAAAAGTCCCAACCAGGGATTAACAATGGTCTCACAAAACCTTCATCTTAGAGTCCTACCTTGAGTTAACCTTCCACCTCCTGTATGCTTCAGTGCCTACCAAGCACTGAACGTTGAGAGTATGTAATTTGTCTTTTGATTTTATAGAGGCTTACAGTTAAGAAAGTTACCTGAGAGGCAAGAGAGAGTGGTGGATAGAATCCTAGGTACAGGTCTGGTGATCCTTCCCGTCTTCCTTCTCTTGTGTTGGCAACGCTATTACCAGTATAAGTGATAAGTACTTACTTATCACTGTGGTGTTCTCTTTATTTTGTTGCTATGACTATTGAGCCATAGCTTTCTGTCCTTCATGATGGTCCAGGATTCTATGCCCTAAGGAGAAATTATGCTACATTCCAGTGCTTTATCCCCCCAAATTGTAACCGTATTTTTCACTTCTGTGTTAGAATGTTATACATTTCCAATTATTCTTTGCTTCCCTGACATTTTTTTTTTGATGCCAGAACTGAATTTAAGGCCTCACCTTGCTAAGCAAGTGTTTAAAGTGTGTTATATGCCCATCCCTACTCTTTGTTCTCTTAGTAATAAAGTCACTTGCTTGGGTATAGTCTTCACCAGAGGCATTAATCACACTCATATCATAATTCAGCTCTGAGTATCTTTGTTACTACAACAATATAAAAATTGTCTGGTAGCTGGACATGGTGGCGCACGCCTTTAATCCCAGCACTTGGGAGGCAAAGGCAGGTGGATCTTTGTGAGTTTGAGGCCAGCCTGGTCTATGTAGTGAGTTCCAGGACAGCTAGGGATACAGGGATGTGTCACCCAATGCCACTGTTTGGAAATTCCAAATTAGTAAAACAACCCTAATTGATATAGATAAAGTGAGATTTCATCAGAGAATTTAGCCCTGAGTTATTGGAAGATAACTATTGATAAAAATTCAGGATATGGTTATGCATTTAGAGTTACACACAAAGTATGAGAAAAAATGATTATATGGATTGTTATAACTTTCAAGTGACCTGTTGATAGCATGCTGTGTTTTTTGGTATAATTAGAAATGAAATTATCAAAGAAATTTAGGCTCTTGAACTGCTGGATTTCTTATAAAATGACTTGCATGATTTAAACATTCAACTGTAGGAAAAAAATGAAGATGGTGACAGAGATGAAGGTTACTCATGTGCCCAATGTCCTTCCTATGACCAAAATTCAGGCTTCTCAAGAGATATATTGTATTCTTCAACTCATTTTACATCCTAAAAAGATAAAATTAGGGAAAAATGGGCTAAAGTTTCAGAGTTTATTATGGGAAGAATGAGACACACTGTATATATTTGTTTAGCTAGAGTTGTACTTTCCTTCCTTAGCAGCTTGCATAGCGTCTTCCAAAAGTTTGAGAGCTACTCTTCAAAGAGGAGGCTGTTAGGTCAGTTCCAGCTCCACTGCTCCAAGTCTTGTGCCTAAATGTCCTGTCTTCAGCAATAGGTTCTTAAAGTCAAGTTCCGGGAGATAATCAAGGGCTTTGGCAATAGCCTGTGTTATTTTGGGAGTCTCTTGGACTTCCTTGACCAACAACTTGAAGGTAGATTTCTCCTGTCTGGCACTGTGTTTCTTGCTATATAGCCTTAAGATGCGTTCTTACACAGATGTTGTATGTGCATTTTTCAATAGACTTTTGAACTAATATAGTTCCTTACGATTTTTCACATCACCTAAGTATTATTAATCTCTGTTCCCTCTGTCTTACTCTCTCCTCTGTTCCCACTTAAAGTGCCCCCCAGTTTCCCCATTTAGTTCCCTCTTCCCCTCCCAGTTAAACACCCAATTTTACCCACCTGTCTCCTACTATCTCTCTCCCTCAGGCTCCTTCTTCCCCTTTATCTCCATGGCATCCTTCCACTTTCCTGTCTAATGCAGTTAAATCAGGAAATATACTCACATGTATGAATTTGGTGCTAAGATCCACAAATGAGGGAGAACATACATTGTTTCTTCCAGACATGACAGGGAAGCTACACCCACAATATATCAACAGCATGGTTTCCTAAACAAGACCTGCATCATGATAATAACATGTGACAGACCAACACACATGGGGGGAATTTCACAAGGTCCCACTTCCAAATGAAAAGCTATAGGCAAATAATTGTTGAGAAAGTAAAAATATGTTTTCTCCAGGGACACGTTCTCTGGTAGATTAGCCAGTCCCAATTGGTCAGCCCTAAACACATGCACTTATGGGCAACACTAAATAGGTTTGTTTGGTTATGTATGTGTTTGAGCACACACATATAGCAATTATAATTAGACAAGAGGTCAAAAAATTGAGAGTAGCTGGGGTTGCATGGGAGGATTTGCGGGGGGGAGGGGTAGAAAATATGTAAACACAGTAGTCACGTATGAAATTCTCAGGAAATAAATAAGTTATAATAAAAGATATAACTTTTAAAAAGAAACTGTATAGGCATGGAGAAGTATGATGAACTAGTCATAGTTCATTATTAATTCAAATTCATCCATTGGTAAGTGTCTATGAAGATGATTGCTAAATTGACAAAATTCTTTCACACAAAACAAAATAAAAAT